TCTGTAATATGTTTTGATTTGATTATGTAAAAAGGGGCAGAAACAGTTCATCTTGGAATATTGGAATATTTGGCCGATCCATATGCCTGGCACCAGTACATTCAAATAGGTTTAAGCAGGTATTAGTATATCGAAAGTATTGGTTTTAATAATAATTTTAATTGTCGCTTGAGTAGGTAATAAAACATTTTAAATCGTTTGTTGAGTGTCTGTAGTGTTAGTCAAATGTAAGCCCTAAATAGTCAGCATTTTCGGTTTGAGGAACGGGTGCATTATGTAGGACAAGTCTCACGTCGGATTGTAAAGTTGATATTACTTTGATGGGGTTATACTTTATTTTCCAAAGATCGCTCCATTTTTCAATTGTTGATATAAGTGAAGTATAAGTAACATAAGTGAAGCTTGCGTAGAAGAGGGATGATTTGTTAATATGGAGTCATCCTTGGTAAGTGCATTCTCATTTGTGTGCATATCAGAAGTAAAATAAACAAAATTAATAAATACATAAAAATAAAGAAAGAAGAATTATGACAACAATTAAAATATTTAAAATGCACAATTATACTTCATAGCGGCAAGTCAGTGCATAGCAACATTTCTAAATATTGTAAACATGGACGTTTTGAAAGTTTAATCTTTTTGTGCGCAAAGCACCTTGGTTCGTAGAGAAAACAGTCATAGATCATTTTTTGTACATCATATAACAAATTATCATCTAAAATGTCTTCTATCAAAATGAATTGACAAATAGGTTAGGGGACAGCGGCGACCGAGAGGTTATTGTGTCCGACCTGTATTGCCACGCTTTCGGTCCTGAGTTCGATTGGAATTTTATTTGAGATTAATTTGTTCAAAGTACTCTACTGTGGTTCTGACCCTCTATCGACACACTCAACGCGTATTTAACGTTACCCTCATGTGTGACAAGAATGACTTTTTTACCACTAGGTTAAGAAACGAAAATAGGCTGACCGCACACAAATAATTATCAATATGAAAAAGGTGATGTCAAGTCTCTCAAAATCACAATAATTTTATGATACACATCCGTAATTTAAATTTATTTATTTTAGACCTAGTTTGAAAACGATTTTGTTTAAATCGGAGAGAAAAACGTGGAGACAAATATTACAAAATTAAGCAAGGAATTCAACATTCTACCTGCCGAGATAGATCTCATGCCCAGATTTTGAAGAAAAAATCTATTTCGAAAAAATTTATTTAGAAACAATTCCAACTAATTAGAGCTTTACTATTTTTCTTTAAATTCAATTTATAGAGCAGGGGAGAAGTAATTGATACCGGCATTATCCAATTGGATCAAAACCGCACAAGTGATCATTGGATTCTTCTTAAGGCTTCCATTAGATTAAAACCGAACCCTTTACCCCGCCGCAAGAGCTATTTTTAAATTTCGATCCCCAGGGTCCAAAAGGCGGTACCAAGTCGTAAACCCAACCCGTGCGTGATATGAACGCATCCATCACGGCGCTACCGGTTCTTCCGTTTAGCCCGATGGGGTTCTTATTGGATCGGGGACTTAACATGCTTTAACGACTTTATCGAGAAGAATTACCCATCCAGCGGACAGGTGAGTACCTGCCTATTATGAATGTACAAACAGTCCGTTCAACAGTCGTATATTCACCAGCGTTCTGAAAGCCAGTTTATCAGAACAAATTAAAATAAACCCTGATTACCTGGTATCCCAAACATAAATTTTACTCTATCGTTTAAAAAAAACGTTGAAAGTAAAGGTAAATTACTAAAAAAATAATAAGTGACCACACAATGTCTTTCATGTAATATTAAGCTCCAACGACAGTTCAAAGTACACAATACATTTTCATAAGTTCTGCTATATGAAAATCTATATTGTGATATAAAATTTGACAGAAAAAATGCCTAATTTCTCTACTTTTTTTCAAAACCAAGGATACTAAACAATAATAATAATCAAGTGTATCGAGTAATAATAATAATCAAGTAGCAATTATTTAATAGATCCACTTTGATTATGTACGTACTAAACCTCGTTTACCCTGTCTATGACTGTTTATCATTAATTATTGTTAATTATTTATTAATTTAATACCCTTATGTAATGTAGTTATACGTTAAAATTTTTCCTTCTCGCCCTGCCATTTTTACAACAATATTTATTTAACATCGTTGCACAGATCTTCATAATAAAAAGAAATATTGCAATAAAAATGTAGTAGAGCAAAAAGCTCTCGAGAAATATTTTGACATGATAATGAACACAAATATTATGACATAGGGTAGTTTTCCGGGTTTTTTTTTTTTTTTTTTTTTTTTTTTTTTTTTTTTTTTTTTTTTCTATTTTAATAGGCTATCAAGCTAGTGAATTATTTTCTACAGTTTTTTAGTTTAGTTTTTCTTAAATAGCAATGACAAAAGGGACCAGATAGGATCGTTTGACTGAGACTACGTCAATAACTGAGTAAACTGGTTTCGCAGAATTGCATTAAAAAATGAAATATAACAAAATAAAAGGACAGGAGAATATTTATTAGAAAGAAACAGCAATTAAACAATATTATTAAGCTGGTTTAAAGATATCCCTGTCAAACATGATCTATAAAATAATAACAGGCATGGATGCTTAAAAAAGGTATTAAAAAAAATTATTATGCTATGAATTGTAAAAAGAACGAGTATGATCAGCGAGAATAGGCGGACCGTAAATATATAATTTAAAAAACCTTCACTCATATATGATAATTTTACTGTCTTGAGAGTTTTTAAAAAATATTAATGTGTAACTACGAGAGAAATGCATTTCAAAAATATGTTTTGGGCAATAAATATGTTAGAAAAACTTAAAAGTTATCGAACTAAAACTTTAGAAAGATGAAATGAAATCATGCCAATAAGATTAATATAGAAACATCAAGGTCTATGGACAAAATGAGGAAGCTACGTTGAAGAGCGGGCGTGACAAAGTCGACACGATTTGCATTCAACAACCATGTAGCTCATTGTCGTATTACTCTTATAAGCAAGTTTAACCTTGCCTAAAGAAAAAAAGAAGTGTAAATGTAGTACAATTTTCTAGCTCTTTTCATGATCCTTGAAGGCAACGGCATTAAGCAACCGGTTAGTGAAGTCATATTTTTTTCAGTAAGTCGTTCAAGCACGGTTCAAGGGGCAAGGGATCATAAAAGACAATACTTTTGCCACGTCAAATGAACAAACAAAACTCCGGGCTTTCCAAGGGCGATCCGACTTGGCACGGCGTGCGTGGTTTTTCATGTTTGCCATGGCTTTCTATTGACGTTAAGTAGCTATGTCCGTAAACGGGCGGACATTCCCATCGGGCAGGTCGATTTTTACAACGGGAGCTACGGTTGTTGAAGTCGTTTTTCAATTATCACTGGGTGAAATGACGGGAGAAAAACGACTCGGAGAAACGCTTTGTGCCGAGGTGTCACCGGGGGTCCGAGTGAGTCTTCTTTCTGACCTGTAAGTCAAACAGCGGCCTGACGTGCAGGTGAGCCAGGTATCTGCTGAATGAAGCACTCGAGGCCATTGTGGTCCGTGCTGACCGGGCTGTTGTTGTGTCTGCACGTTCCGCTCGCGTAGACCGTCATGGAGGATCAGCGGATTCCCGGATGGGACTCGTCCTTGGTATGTTCTTGTCCGACAATTGAAAATACTCAGAAGGGGGGAAAGAATTTAAATGTAGCGAATATTTTAAATTGGAAAAATAAAAAACTATAGACATTTCAAAATTTATTATTAGCTTCAAAAGAAAATTTTATAATTATTCTCCGTTATCTCTTGTCAGTCAAGACCAAAATTATCTGACATGTTCTGGGTTTTTAGAGGCCTTTTCCGGTTCGCAAATTCTTGCCTTTTTTAGACTCTCGTTCTTCAATAAATGGGTCAGAATCGATAAAATGAAAAAGACTTGATTTGGTTAAACTTTTAGTTTTTCAATGTTTATTTATAATAGTAGTATAGTTTTCCGATATTGTCACACAATACACTTTAATCGCCAAAATAATTCTCTCTTTATAAAATATTTTATTTGGAATTATAATTTTTCACTTAATTTATTATCAAATCAAAACAATAAATCCGTTATGGAGAAGAGGAAAATGCAGAAATATTAAAAATGTAGGGAGGAAAAATGTTGTGTGCCGACTATGACCTAGCCATTTGCCGGTAAAAAAATAAATAAATAAAATAAACCCATTATTTTATAGCGTAAATTATCAACTTATTGTGAACTTGAAATATACTACCCAATTGGTTTCGAGAACAATGGTTTAAACCACCAACCAGCCATGTTGTTTTCAATGAAAAAGCCATGATGGGCTATGCCGGGATTTGGGGAATTCGAACTTCCGAGTTGAAAGAAAATGATTAGATGGATAAAATTGAAAGTGGTCAGAAAATATTTGGTTATATTTCAAGAGAATTGAACATTTTGGTGACGAACCGTGAAAACAAAATGGGTTTCAGTCTCAAACCGTACACCTGTTAGTTAATAAGAAACAGATTATATTTTGAATTCTATTTGATGCCAGTGACTATTCACAGAACTTTATTTTTTAGGTTATTAGAGCCTTAAATAATTGGTGACATTTGAATGAAACTCTAGGTTTAACGCATATGGTCTTTTGACAATACTGTCTGTTGATCTACCTAAACAGGTTTCGCCTCGAATCAGGGAAAATATTGTTTGCTGCCTGTCATTTTCATATATTATGAATTGACCAAAAATTCTAAACAAAGCCATTGTTATTTATTAAAGTTTGAAGTGATAGAATTGGTGAAATTTGAACTGAAACACAGATCTGCGGTGTATGATCTGACATTTAACGAACAATTATCAGAATTTTCATCCGTTTAAATTCACTGTTATAAAAAATTTAAAGACAGTTTCATAATTCGGTATGCTTATTTTGTTAATTTTTTCAAAGTTTTGACTTGTCTGTTTTTCTGAAATATGTTGTTCATGGAAGACTTACGTTGATTGCATTGCTCTACGTGGGTCCCGTCATCTCTTCCTTTCCATCCCATCTTCAGCAACCTCAGACCGCTACCAGGGCTCTGAAGCACAGCTCAAAGTCAATTTCCAAACACGACTACGGGGAAAATAAAATAAATAAATAAAAATAAACAAATAAAAACAAACAAAAAATTTGACAACTGCGATGAAAATTGAAACAAATGCTGGGGGAAAATCTCTATGTTGAAATATTATCCAAAGCATTAGAATTAAATATATCTTTGTTATTTAAATTTTGGCTCATGTATAGGCCAAAAAATTTAAATTTACTTTAAATTTTACTTAAATAATCATCATTGATAAATAATCAAAACTCCTCATAAAGTTTTCAAGGCATTTTAAATTAGAGGGACTCGTCTATTTTAAGCTTGGTCAAATTGCAAAAACAATTATTAAACTAATAAAACGCAAACAGTAATTAAATTTTTTTATTATTATAAGTTTTTTTATAGCAGAAATGTATGTACAAATTAAGCATATGGACAGAATGATAATTAGAAAGCACAAGCGTTGTCTCAAAAGCGTAATTTTTCACCCGTTATCTTCTTTGATCATTAAAAATATCATGTCCGTTTCGGCCTATACGTATATTCAACAGTTGAACGTGTTAAGTTATAACACGAACAGGTGTAGCGAACCAACGTGATAAATAGCAAGGGGGAGAGACGACCGATAGATTGAGACGTCTTCTCGTCGGAACGACCACCTGTTAATCGTAATCCACCCTCGGTAATGATTTCCTCGTGTTTATTGCCTTGCAGGTGTTCCTTCAAGGGGAAAACTTTCGTTGAGTAAATTGACTGACCATTTAGTAAGAAATTTGTTGGGGGATGGTGAAAAAACAAAAAGTAAATCGTTGGACTGTGCAGGTCAAGGTAGATTTATGTCAACTGTACTTGCAATTGATGCTTTTTCTCGCTTTAAATAATGTTAAAATGCTGAATAACCTCACTTGATAATTCAATATCCACTTCTCAAAATGGTAAAAAGGTCATTGGTTTGTTGTAAATTGTACCAAATTTTAGCATATAGTCTTATGTGAGCCATTTGGTTAATTTTGATGCATTTAATATATATTGATACATTATTTTTTTATGTATCTTAACACAGCGAAAACATTTTTTATTAAAGGTTAAAGCTTTGTCTTTTCAAATAAATTTTATCTAGTTAAACAAAAAACTCAACGTCATACAATTTTATACTTAATTAATGAATTCACAAAATGTTGGTCTATCATGATAATGGAATCGTTTCCAGTGAAAACTGAATTGGTAACAGCGCTTTTCTCCCACTGCCTCCACCGATAAAAATGGATAGCACGAAAGGGGGCGTCTGTTAAAAGTGAACCTGCTGAATTAAAAATGGATTGACATATGAAGAAGGCTTAGAATTATTTAGTAGCCCGTGAAAGCCTTTCGCCCCTTTCCACAAAGGGCGAAAGGGCAGGAAATAAAAGGAAGGCTCACTCCTCAGTAATTCATAATCGAGCCGAAGACCTTTCAGAGGGCCATGACCCCATCAAATATTAACCTTGATCAATGTACGGCACAGTGATTTCAGGGTCAATCAGGCAGTGTCAATATTTATGGTCGCTATGTAGAATTGTCGTACGTTTGTATAGAACGTCCATATAATTTATGTATTACTGTAATACCATACATTATTTCCTAAACAAAACAATAAAACAAATCGTTGGTATTCGGTAATTGATATTCATAAAGAATTTTTAAAAATAGCATGTCAACACAGATCTGGTAACTGGTTTTTTCCACAAGACATTTCACAGGGATCTTGTTAGTAAACACGATCAAATTTGCCATCCATGATCAGGTAATAAATTCCAATATCTTGTTTAAAAACTCGGGAGATTTCGAGTAGACGCATAGCTCGAATACTGTATGGGAATGGGCGGATTATAGAGGGGAATAAGCCGATTTCCATGAGCCAGGAGCTGAAACCAGAGGTCAGAAAAGAAAAAAAGAACACATTCTTACTGTCACATTTTTTGAATAAAAGCCTTTAATAAACTTCGTTTTTAAATGGAAAAGTCATAGGATATGGTGGGCCTTGCGAGAACGGGAATTTTTTCGAAGTTTACGCCGAAACTTGCTGTTTTGAGCGGGCTTCACCGGAATTTATGGGTGGGCGTATCACGAAATTACTTTCATGTATAAGAAAACCTTACATGAATTTAAATGAGCATTTATTTGCAAACCAAAGTAATAGCAACGGGTACAAAAATTGAGCAAGTATTGGGTTTTTCAATAAATACACTAACTCAGATATATAAATAATAATGAAAAGACGAGAGAATGAGTGAGTGAGTGAGAGAATGAGTGAGTGAGTGAGTGAATGAGTGAGTGAGAGAGGGAGGGAGGGAGTGAGGGAAGTGATAGAGAGAGGGAAGAGAGAGAGAGAGAGAGAGAGAGAGAGAGAGAGTGAGAGAGAGGAGAGAGGTAACAGAAAAAATCTATTTAAAAAAAAATCAAAAAGACAGATGAAAATGGGAGAGATGATGTAAAGTATTTTAATATTTTAATAACTAAACAGTTCTTTCTGGAAGAAAAAAACAACTGTTAATAATTAATTATTTAATCATTTCGATTGTTATTACCTAGAGTGAATTACTCAAAATATACATATTTTTATTTATATCCAAATCGGACAGATCCGTCAGACCGTGGGGTAGTGTGTAGAGCAGCCAGCTTGTGCTGGAACTCTCTCTTTTTAGTTTGGACTAGGTAATGGTCATGATAGGAGGTTACGAGGTCCACGTTGTTGTAGACGGTGTCGGGAATTTTAAGGGTAGGACTTTGAGAAAAGACCTTTTGCTCGTGGATTAAGGTGTATGTAAGGAATTTAAGAACATTTTGTACATGGTTAAAGCGTTAACGTAGAAGGTAGATCGTGGGTGGTAACGTAGGTTCGAATCCCGTTCGTGACACTTTTTTACCAATACCTTACATGAAGATTAATTAATTGAAAGAAGAAGGCAGCATTGAAGATGTACGTATTCGTTGGAATTAGGAGGATTCGGCCGAGCCCCATAGCTCGATAAATCGGTTTAATGAGTGTTTTCTAAGTGGTAAGTTTGTTATGTACGGTTAGTCTTGCTTTCAGTTCAAGTAGGCATCTGGAGATGTTCATGTTTTTTTATTTCCTGTCTTTTTAGTCTTGTACGTCGGTTCTATGTGCTGATATCCAAGCGGATTTGGTTGGATGGAAGGATTATCTTCGCGCTGGTTGGCAGGTCTGACGTCTAAGCATAAATTTAATCCTTCACCGAGTGCACTAGTCAGTAAATATCCAAGCTCGCCATGGTAGGCTTGGAGTGTATGGTCGGACGCGGGTGTCGTAGGATGTGCTTTGTGTGTTAGGATTGCGTACATGATTGGTACTAGGACACTTCCTTGCAGAACGCCAGCTAGCCGAAAAATCGGAGCCAATTCTCACATTAACCCATCTGAGAGGAAGGATATCAGGATGAGACAGTACGCGTGAAGGACCATATTATGTTTAAATATGAAAAAGATATAGTATCGATTATTCTAAAACCATGTAGAACAGTAGAATGGAGGGTTCAAAATATAGTAACAACTTTACAATTAATTAAGGTTTTTAGTTGAGATGAAAAAAAGCTAATGGCACGAAAGGGATTCGAACCCACGACCTTCGGCTAGATACGCCGCTGCTCTACCACCTGAGCTATCGTGACCTNCGATAGCTCAGGTGGTAGAGCAGCGGCGTATCTAGCCGAAGGTCGTGGGTTCGAATCCCTCTCGTGCCATTAGTTTTTTTTCATCTCAACTAAAAACCTTATTTAATTGTAAAGTATTAATTGGTCAAGCGGACCACGAAAATAGTGAATATAGTAACAACATTTAGTTATTTTTATGGCATAATAAACTTAAAATAATTTCAGCGATTCTAAATTAATTATCATTAATGATTTGTAGGGATTGTTGTACCACAAACCGATTCTAAGATCTAAACCTTCATAGCACATATCTTGTTGTCAAAATATATTAAAAATAAATCATATTTAAACAGCGATTGATGGTATTCCAAATGGCCTACTTAGGAGGTGTTTAGTTTTTTGTATTTACTCGTTTATTTTTATTTATTTATTTTTAATTAACAAATGTTATAGAACTTTTTTGTAATGAATAGGCAGCGGCGTCGGTCGTTAGCGTAACCGCAAAAACCCTATTCGTCAGTACGACCTTTCGGTCGCGTCGATATTCTCTAGGGCGACCTACATCGTATAGAGCTATAATTTCCATGGTGGAAACTACTAAAAGCCGAATATTTTTATACTATATGTTTTACCTACATGTTAAAACAGCGTTTTTTTATCTAAATAAAAATAAAAATGTAGGTCTTGGAAAAAATGAAATAATACCCTCGAGAATACGATATCGTAATATTTTTATGAACCATTAATCCGGTTTATTTACTATTACAGCCGTCTCATTAGGATGTTTCTCGGTGGGCGTTATGGCATTTTTCACTCGGGACGAAGATGACTATCTGGAATGTATGTCGCCGCGGCTCGATTTACACCCATTTTGGGTCTAGGTGGTCTCCCGGAGGACGGCCAGGAATGCTCCTGGGGGTTTGATGCAGACGTTCGGGCTACCGCTCCCCATTGTCCGCCGTGAAATCGTTTCTTCGGGGTGACAAAAGTGGCCGGGCCTTCTCCCGTTTAAATCACCCTGCGCCAAGGTAGAAAAAGTGTCACATATATTCGCCCCACGGATCACTCTCTCTCTTTGGAATTTCTCTTGCTCAAAATCTGTGAAATTTCAACCGGGGTATAGTACAACACGTAAAAATAACGGAAAAAATCATAGCACTCTCAGAAATTAACCTTTTTAACGTCCTATGCTTTGAAGATTACCGAGGCTGATTTATTGATTATTTAAATTTGAACACAGTCGACAATATGAATCGATAAAACTTCAAAGTGATAACGCTAGGGGTTAATTGACTCCCAATACCACGCCATAATGTTTAAAAAAAAGCCCGTGAGGGTTCTTTAGCAACACCAGTAAACAGCCACAAAAAAGGAGCAGT